ACTCCAAGATTAATTTTCATCCATACAAATGAGTTTTAGGATTTTTTTTTAAATTAACCGTGGCTTGTTTTCCATTTCCTAGTTATCAAATGTGTGCCTTTGAGAAAAAGCTTAATTCTCAGATATTCTGTCAGCCAGGTGGATTCTTCTTTAATCCTAAAGTTCTTGAGGAAGAGATAATGTGACTGAGGGTTTATCCTAACACAGCATTTGAGACACCGATAGCATTTTCACAACTGTGAGAAGAATAGACTGTTCAGCTCGTGAAAGACTTATTTTCGTCCCCAAAGCACTGTGACTTAGTGTATGTATGCCTGGCTGCAGCCCATCTGCCAGCTCCTGTCAGTCAGAACAGCTAAGGAGTCTTTCTGGGGGTCCCTTCCATTCAGGAAGAATCCTTTGATAGACCCCATTGCCTTTGTTCAACAATACTGATGGCATCTAGTGCATGAAATGCCACTCGTTGCAGGGTCTGACTTCCATCGGGCCTCACTGGTCCCCTAGTCCCCAACATAGCATAACCAGAATTTCCATATTCTTTATGTGTGTTCTAATACCTCAGGTCTCGTGCCGTCAGGGAATGCCGGCATCAGATGACCCTGCCTCTTCTACAGGTGAGGGAATGGAGGGCGCCTGTTAAGCACATGGCTCTTAGGAGAGTGGAGGCAGGGAATGCACAGACTGAGCCCAGCTCCCCCTGGAACTGCCTTCTGCAGGGCTTCAGATAAGCAATGGGGTGAATCCTTATGAAGGTAACTCAGGCAGAGGCTCATATGCAGCCGCAGGTGGGGGGTCCTTAAAGGGCAGTGTGTGTCCAGGCGGCCCTGCAGCAATGACAGACCTCATGGCCATTTCCTGACGTGATAAGTGGATGAGTTAGCTTTGAGATGAGTCCTCTCTAAGGAGCTAAGAACCCATTCAGTTTCAACTAGGACATTCTTGGCCTCTTGACTATTCCATTTCCCACTGTATCTGCTGGCCACCCTTAAGGTTAGGAGCACAGAGAGATGCTGGCTCCTCACGCGCCCCAAGTGTGTTTCCTGATTTGTGGTGGTTATCTGTCTCTGCTGTTTAGCCTTCCAAACGTCCATGACCCAAGAAGAGACAGGATGCCACTTTTAAAATACAGCAAGGAAGAATGCGTTTCCAATGACCTTGTCTCTCTGAACTCGGGCTGACTGTGACTCATACTGGAGCAGCTGAAGCCTTTTTCTGAATTTATGGGCTCCCATTTAGGTGAGGATGGGATTGCTGAAACTGGAGACATGTTTAGCATGCTTACGTACCCTGGCAGCAGACTCAACGGTCAAACGAGCCAAAGGTCCCTTTTGTCTTAGGCACCGACTCCTGCTCAGTCTGTCTTCCTCAGCTTTGAACAGGGCTCAAAGGCAAGTGCGGCTAGGATTGCAGTGCTGGGTTCAAGTCCATTCCAGCATTTGCCTCCCAAGGGATCTTGCTAAGGACCCTAATCTCCATGGGGCTGCCGTTCTTCACCTCTACAGTGAGGGCAAAACTACCACTTGGGACTCGCTGGGATTTATAATTTAGGCTGGACGTTAAACAAAGGGAATAGAACTAAGTCACCATCAGAAATGCTCCGAAACTCGAGGCCAACTTGATGCTCACAGTTTCCTATTTTGGAGCATTTAAGATTTCAGGTTTCTACATTATGATCCACAACTAGTAAAGTATACGCAAATATTCCCAAATCTAAAAAGCTCAAATACTCTGATCGCAAGCATTTTTTTTTTCCTTTCTGGATAGGATTTCTCTGTGTAACAGCCCTGGGTGTCCTGGGATTAGCTCTTGTAGTCCAGGCTGACGTCAAATTTACAGAGATCCGCCTGTCTCTGCCTCCTGAATGATGGGATTAAAGGCATGTGCCACCACCGTCTGGTCAATCCCAAGCATTTTTGAAAAAGGATACTCAAATTAAGAAAAAAAAACCCACTCCCCACCCCTACCCACTGCTGCTGCCAACTCCCCCCTCCCCGCCTCGCGCTGCTACCAGTAAAAACATATTAAGCATTTATTACATTCTATGGGATGCTGTTATATACACTGTGAAACCTAGGGCTATCATCCAAGATCTCTGCATTTATTAGGACAGCTCTTTTCCCCTCTCATATCGTTATCACGATGGTATACTTTATAAGGGTATCATTTAGCTTGCACAGGCTGGGTTTGTGGCCATGAAAAAAAAATCACAAGCTGGTGGGGTGAATGCCTAGAGACTAACAGAATGTTACTGAACGGAGTGTCGTCTTGAAAGAGCAAGTACCTTGGAGACTAAAGGAAGAAGGGGCATTATTCCCCAGATGACCAACTACCAAGCCTCAGCAGCTCACGGTTTAAAATTATGACCACAAGTTCTTTGACATTCCTTTTAGCATGGGCCGTTGAAGGGGGTACGGCTAGGCAGTAGAGCTTTCGTCTGGCATGTGTCTGGTTATGTGTTCAAGTCCTAGCACCATCAAACCGAAACAAAACAAAATGAACTAGAAAACTTAAACCCCAAATTTCATCCATAAAACACACCTCCCTCTCCTCCCTATTTTGGATCCACATCCTCTAATGCCCTGGTTGTGGCAGACGTCTGAGACTCAGAACGGGCCCATCTCCTGACTCATTCTTCAGTCATTCCCATAGCAGAAGCCAGATACCCCAGTAAAGACCCCCGGGCAACCCAGGGAGATGTGATGCTTACTCTAGATCATCAACTTGACTGCATTTGGAATTAACTTAAATCCAAATGGCTGGGCACATCCGTAAGAATTTTTTTTTTTTCATAATTATTTGAAGTCAGAGGACCCACTTCTAATCTGAATCTTTGTGTTGGGAAGATACACCTCTAATCCAGATCTTTTAAGGTGGGACGAATCACCTTTATTGTGGGCCACACCTTTTTTGAGCAGTCTAAGTAAAGGACATGACATAAAGGAACTTGTTCTCTCTGTCTGCCATTCTTTCACGTGAATTAGAGTCTACTTCTTTTGGGATTCCATGGTATAATAAAGAGCATCTGAGCCCTCCAGCCTTGTGTACTGAATACCTACTGGGTTTCTGGACTTTCTGTTGGTAGACAGCCATTGTTATGCTAGCTGGACCACAGTCTGTAAGCCATTCTAATAAATGCCACATCTGTATGTATATACATATATACATACACAAAAATACTTACACACATATATATTTATGCATAACATATGAATATGTATACACACATTCATTCATTCTATATGTTCTCTTCCTCTGGAGAACCCTGGTTAATGCAGGAGAGAATTTTCTTGTGAGGAATGGGGGCCACTTGCCATGGAAGCCACATTAGAGGGTGGCCCTCTAGCCTGTGAAAGTTGGTACAGCCACAATCCTGTCAGCAGCTTCAGCCACCATCCTGTCAGGAACCACTTGGCTGAGCCGGTCCAGAGTTCTTGACGTTTCTATATAAGTGGGGAGAAAACAAACCTTTTTTGTTTCCTTAGAAAATTTCTCATTATATTAATTTGAATAAGTATCATCGCCATTCACAGCTGCATTCCCAAATGTTTCTTTTGGAAAAGCAGGGTTCTAGTTTCAGGGAACATCAATGAGAGAAGCAGGAAGAATTCAAGACCAGTAGGAAGAGTCAAAGAACCAAATCTGCCTTTCAGGAGAAAAATATTTATCAATAAAACAGTTTGACAATCATTATTGTTTTTGAAATTACATTTTATAATGAATGATTCCTTAAATTTGCATATTAAGTATGACCTTAACCTTAGAAGAAATTCTCTTCAAATAACTTGATACAATAAATACTCATTGCATATTCAGTGTTCAAGTAACAGGAGAAAGGACACAGCCCCTAAGAAGTAGTACTTCTCTAACACAGCTGTGACAGTCTAAGTTCTTTGAGGCAGAGGCTGTTGACCATGGGGGTTCACTGGGTGCCACGTGAAAGACAAGTGGGCAAATACACGACCACACACAGTGGTACTGATGTTGAGCCTGAACAAATGAAAACAGGCTAGTCATTTCAAAGAAACGCTCTGTAGTAAGAACTCAAATATTTCAACCAAAGAGTCTCCTGGAAAATATGAAAAACCCCGACGTTTGGGAAAGGCAAAAATCAAAGAAGTGTAACTAAGTGAAGAGGCAGCATACTTTAGGGAGCACGCAGGAAGTATTTTAGCAAACCAAGAAGAGTGCTGCTCAGAATCATTGAGCTCGGGTGAGACCAATTTAATGGAATGTTCCTAGAAGGCTATAAAAAATGTGCTTCTGGCCCACAGCCCAAAGTTAGCTTTTCACGAAGGAAAAAGAAAAGGACAAAGGAACCAGCACAGGTAGAGCCTACAGAGCTATTTATTAGCATATCTTTTCTTCTTAGGTTCCAGAACAACTGAAGTATGTACAGAGTCTTACAGCATTCACACCATTTAAAGGCTCCTAGTAGCTGAGGAAGACGAAGGTGGCTCTGCTGAGAACCTGCGGGCTGCCAGAGCCTTGCAACACACACTGCCTGGTGCCCTCTGGGCCGCCTGGCTCACAGCTCCTGAACTCACCCAGAGGGCAGGTTATTGGGGAAGAGGCAACAGGAGACCAGGTGGAAAGCTACAGTGTTTCCACAGTTTTCTAAAGCTGTAACAAATACCCATAGCCTGAGAGAAGGGCAAGGTAAGAGAATGAGATACGACTGTGCTTCCACAGAGACAGAAGCACTGTGGAACGGGAGACTGCACTGAGGGATGGTAATCTCACTTCCCTTCCTGTCCTCAGTGCAAACCTGTGGAGCCCCAACTCACCCTCGCCAAACAGAACAACTACAAAGGGAGCAAGAGAAAAAAACCAACAGGTGTTAGTAGTTCTTAGCCAACAGCACAACAAAAACAAATAAAATCCCACAAAGTAACTTTGTAAAAAAAAAAACATTCAGTATCAGCTTTAACCAGCTTTAGGGTGGGTCTTCCTGTCAGGTTAATCCTAGATACTTGGGAATTATCCCCGTTTGAACAGCGACAACAGTCCCCCCCCCCCCCAGTATTGAACCTCCTGCATTTGCTTATCGTGGGTTTTGTTTGATTGTCTTCCACTACAAAAATACCACTGACATATACACTAAATTGGACGCAAGACCACACTGTTGCCCCAGAACGCTCCACTAAGTGGCAAGAGAATGGCAAAACCTGGGCGAGGCCCACCGCTGGATTCCACAGAAACAAACTCTAGCCTGGTTCTCTGTTCTGTCCGTCTTCTCCAGGAGCAGAGTGTCTCATCCATTTCCCAGTGTTATGATCTCCCATTTAGGCAAAGTGGCTTTTTATTTCAAAAAGATTCTGTGTTCAACTTAAAAGCCAGTTGATAAAACTTTTAATTAAGACACAACAGTGCGGGGTATAAAAACACAAGAACCACATAAATATTGAAGAAATTGAAAACTTTTTTTTTTCCCTCCTGTAAACAGTTTTGCTTAAGAGCAAAGCCCTAGGCAGTCAGATTCTGGCTGGAAAACTTTTGGCAGATGAGTATTCAGCAAGACTCTGCAGAGAGGTGAGGAGGAAGCCAGGCCAGGCGCCATGTTGACAGGCATGCAACTTGAGAACATTGCACAAGAAGCAACACAAAGAGTGGAGAAGCTCACAACACTTCAAGGAGACCTCACAACCTTCACAACTGTGTATGCACAGACAGACCCACCCCTCCCTCCTTTCCGCCACTAAAGCCCCTTACACATGGGACACCTTCTGCGACTCCCTAGCCTGTTTGATGCTATACAGCCACTTGATGATTCTAGCATTTCTCTCGATGGCAGAAATGCCATATGGCACCCGGTCATTGGCACTGTCATCATTTCTAAGGTCACTGTTACTGTCCTGAGACTGTTCACAGTCTGAGCTGATCATGCTTGCGCTGCGGAAGTTGAGGGATATGATGTCAGAGTTAGCCCTTGCAAAGTTCTCCATGCCAAGGTTCTCCAGCTCTTCCGGGTCCAGTCCGCAGTAGTTGAAGAACCTCTCCACGTCCGCGTCTACTCGGAAATACCTGTCACTCAAGTCTGACTTGGATCGTTGAAGGGAAGGTCTCCGGCTGACCCCACAGGCTGGTTCCACCTGGTCAGCCTCAGGGGACTTCGTGGCTGCCACCTTGGGCTTGGGAGGCAAGGGAGGGGCAGAACTGCTGCAGGGGATGGCTTTAAGGGGCTTCACGCTGGTCACTTTGCGGATGTCTGAGGAACTGTGTGAGACATGCAGGAAAGAGTCTGCCGACTGCTCCAGCAGTCTCCTGCTCACGTGGGAGCTGCTCTCCTGTGGGCTACCTCGCCCAGGTGTAGGGTATACCTTCAGCGACTCAGCGAAGGAGTGCCGGTGCAGGTCAGTGGCGTCCCTGTGAGGAGGCCAGTTTCGAGAGCTGTGCTTGTGGCCAGAGCCGGAGCTGGAGCCCTCGGAGCTATTGATGATGTTCTTGAGGATCTCGAGTTTGAGGGTCTCACGTTGCACACCGCTCTCGGTCTTGGCATGGTTGCCAAACACCTTGAGAGTGGGGCTGCCCAGTGTGCGCTTGGCTCCTGGGCACACCGGGGGCTTGGCCAGCACAGCCGGCTTCACCGGCTCCTGCTTGGCGTTGATCACCTCCTGGCTCTTGACGTACTTGGCCTTGTCAGCCTCCAGCCGCTCCACTGCACTGAGTCTCTTGGGGTTGGGCTCGGCCTGCCTGCGGAAGTAGTCGGGTCCTTTGTTCAGGATGCGCAGGGGCACCGCGGACGTGAAGGTGCCCGCGGGGCTGACCGGCTTCACCATGCTACCTGTCTGTAGCGTCTCCGTGGGCATGGTGGGCGGTCTTTCCCCGGCAGCCGTGGTGGATGCTCTTCTGGGCGCCTCCGGCCGGCCTGAACAGACACATGTACACGAAGCACAAAGGGCAGACGAAGGATACTGGAAGCGGTGTCAGCCGCAGCTGCTCCTCATCTCACACCTCACTAACTGCCGCCCTGGCTTCAGCGCACTTTTCTCTCCCTCCAGGCGGCCCCTGCACAAAAAGGCCACAAGCCACAAGTTCCTTTTAATCGGCTTGGCTGCCTCCTTTCTTCTCCCTCAAGGCTGTGGGAGTCTCCTTCAGGTCTTTGTGCTTAACTGCAGGCAGAGCTGAAACACAAAACAACCAACCGCGGGTTAGGAGGGGCGGGTGACATCACCGCTGTAGCAACAGAGGAACCCCGCAGTGATCCCACCTCCGTGGCACCCCTGCCCGCCCAGAGCCCCCCAAGGTCAGTGAATCCGGGACTGGCAATTCCCGGTTAACCGTGCCAGGAGGGCAACCGGGACCTCTCCGGAGCCTGCGCGCCGCCTCCGGCAGCAGTCAAATGTGGGCGTTTGCCAGAAAGAAAGGGGCTGAGGCTTCCCACGGAACTCTTCCAGCTGCCTCCCCATTGGTGCGAACCGAATCCTGAACACGCCTGGCTGGCATCACTGAGAGTGAGACCCAGGAAATACTCGTGAATGAAGAACGGAGGGTTCAGCCAAGTTCTGTTCCGTTCTGTAGCACATTAAATGCTAGGGGCTTCCTAAGACCTCCATCTGCTTTAGCGGCAACGTGGGCGATTTGCGCTGCTGGGTCCCTTTTGCAGTGAAGTAAAACTTGTGACTGCTTATGACCAATTTGTCCGTAAAGCTAGAAACAATCATTTCTTTAATGACTCAATAAGAGGAAAGGAGGTGAGAAACGAGAATGGCAGGAAACAAACAAACAAAAACTAGTAAGAAATACAACCTGCCACAGTCTGCTCACTGTCAGCAAGCAGCACTGTCCTGGAAACTAATAACGCATGCCGTGTTTCTCTCATTAAAATTTACTTCTTTTTTTTTGAGTTAAAAATAACTATTATAGAAACACTTGGAGGGGAACCCTAGGAGTGGATTATGAATTATGAAATGAGCCATCATTTCTCTGACTTGACAAGTGAGAAACATCTCTTGTTTCCTTTTGCTAGAAGGAGAGCCTGCTCACCAACCACCAGCGTTCCAGAACACAGAGAATGACCTCGTCAGCACTCTCATTATCGTTAGGAATATTAGGAGTGCAATCTATCTAACTAACATGTCGACACACAAACGTGCCCGAGATACAAGGTGATGATAGGAAATAAATCAGCGGTCTTTCTCTTGCTAATCTTCTCAAATGCTTCATCTCTAAACAAAATCCGTTCTACTTTATTGGAGCCAATTTTGGTAATCTGCAAAGGGATTTGTTCTAATAAAAATGTGTTCCTATGCAATATTTGAGAAACCCCAAGGCAACGACTACATAATGATTTTCTTTAATTGTGCTGTTCTATTTTGATGGCTCGACTTGGTTAAAAAATAAAACAAAACACAATAACCAACTACCTCCAATGAAAATTAAATGACAGTCTTTCTTTGAATGCGATTTGAATGCAATTGCCTGAAGGAGCCCCAATTCCTTGAGTCTCTAGGTTGGTTAATCTACTACTTAGGAGCCATCTCACTGGCCAAGGACACAGGGGCTATCTTGGAGAAAAGGCAGCATCTTACTGGATGTGGAATGGATTGCAAAGCAATAGCAAGATTGGGCTGGGAGGCAACCTCAGCCATCAAAGTGGACCATGGGAGGGAGGGATGTCCCAGATACCCTGAGTGCTGTCACTGTGGGCCTTAGAATATGTCTCTCTGTGACCGTCTTCTCTCTTAACTTTTATTGCTTAGCCAAAGAAGCCAAACTCTTTGAAAAGTGGATGATAAACCCACAACCCATTTCCCCTGACGGCACCATAATATTCCCAGACTCTTAACTCCTCTGAGAGGTATTCTGGGCAAGAGTGGCCCAAAATAAAAGTCTCTGATCTACTTTGCTTGACTCCAGGTTATGAGACAGCACTCATTTCAGAAAGGCGGAGCTCACAGCCAGGAGGAAGGAGGGAACTTAGAGAGGCATGCTGGACTTCCCTCAGCCTGCTGCCATTAGGACACATGTCTTTAGTTCAGTCATACTTTTTAATGGGCTAAGCCAAAACCCAGGCAGTTCACCTTGGGTCTGACTTTAATCCAAAGGCTCCAGCATAATGTAAACCTATGATCCAGCATTTGGTCATCCTTTTGCCACCTGTGACCTAGTGTGACAGACAAGAAAGGAGTCTTCTCCTTAGCACCAGCCCCGCTGATTACCTTGAAAATGTTCAAAATGCCCGTGTCGGGAAAATGCCAGAATGTGAGGTGAGAGTGAAGAGTGGACGGAGAGTCATGCCTAAGGATCAAGAGAGCCTTCCCACGGCACCCAAAGACGGATCACAGGGCCCTTTCGTGGGCATGAGTTACAATCCATTCCTGCTCAAAAACCATGCAGCTTAAGGAAAAAAGACAGGGACTCATTTTCAATTTCAAAATGGTTTAGTAGAACCTTGGTGACTGCCTTAACTTTCCTATGCCTCCTGCCTTTACTGTTCTTAGGGAAACCTTTCTCTGAGGTGAGAGGTGAGATGAGGTGATCAGGTAACACTGGCTGGCGCTAAGGTTCTTGCTGACCTATGCTTTTATTTGCTATCATCGCCTCTGGTTTTACTGTATTATAATCAAAGGTACAAAATGTTGACATCATGGCCCGGATTTGCCGCATGCTGGACTACCTGAGAGAGCAGGCTTTGGTCTCCTCTGAAGCTCTAAATCAGCATCATTGCTCTGAATTCACAAGACTGGGGAATACCAATGCATCTTCTAGGATCCTTCCCTAGGAAAAAAATCTCTCTTCTTTTCCTATTACTTCCTTCATGCCTGAGACTGGCACCCTCCCATAGGAAGGCTCCTTGGGCTTTCTAGAAATTGCTAGACATTTCTAAAGCCAGTATGGAAGGATTACATTAAAAGGTAGTCATTTGTAACCACTTCATATTTCATTTTCTTTCCATTTCCACGTCTTCCCTTTGTTCTTGGTCATTCCCAATTTCCATAATATTTTTTAAATAGTAATGGGAGAAAATCAGAACAAGCAGAAGGTCTTGTGGGAAGACTCCCAGCAAGGGGAACAGCTACAGAAATGCTGTAGCTGAGGATAATAATCGGCAGACTTGATGTCTGCTACCTGGGCGGGCCAACAGCTGGAAGTCACAGGGCGGTTTAGGTTGCTCTCACTGCCTCCTTACCATCTGCTCTGCTACTTTAAAGGGGGAGCTGCTGTAGGGACACAGCTGTACAGGCCTGGGGAGATACTCTGACCAGTCAATCGGACATGACGCAGCAGGTACCCTGGAGCTACACCTCAGTGTCTCGACAGAGCAACCATAAAGTCCTTCAGGGAATGTAGTGGGGGACAAGACCCTGACATCTGGCATGCGTTCTCTAGTGCGGGCTGGGGACAAATCACAGCAGTGAGGCCAATGGCTGGGCTGGGAGCAGGGAAGGGAAAATCTGGTATCAGTCTCATAATGGTCCACACATAAAAGTAACTATGATTTGTTTTCCGCTATGGTGGTGGGGTAGAATCCCAGGCATGGGCATAGAGAAGCACATCCTTCATCACTGGCTAGACTCCTGTCCCTGTATACTCTCAGGCTCCTGGCACAAGGCCGAGGATGCATAACAGAAACCCCACAGAGGGAGACACTTCCACTGAAGACCATGTTGTCTTCATTCTACCCTAGGGAATAAGCCTTGAACAACGTGAAGGGTAAAAAGACCAGGATAGAGACATGGGTGAGTCACTAGTAAAACAGCTGGCCACATCACAGCAGATGTGAGCTCCAAAGCTATTGTGGATGCAGTGGGTGGTGATGGATGACGGGAGTTCTGCTCTTAGTGAAAGGCCTCTGGTACCTCTGTGCTGGAGGACCCTGATGATGAGGAGTGAGAATCCTGGCTGCTGGCTCCGTGCTACTCTCCAGGATACTGCGCAAGAATGCCAAGTCTGGCTCAAGAGACACTATTGCCTTAGAGTAGCCAGGAGGAGGCAGAGAAGGCCCACATCTGGTTCCATGTGTATGTTACAGAATATGTATGTGTATGTTCATGTGTGTGTTATAGAACATGTATGTGTATGTTCATGTGTATGTTCCATCACAGGAAACGAGCAAAGCTGACTCAGGTTGGCATGCCTCTGTTCCCAGCAGGCCATGCTGCTGAGGTAAGAGTGCCTGGTCGAAACAAGGACCCCCAGTCCAGGGCTGCCCAGGAACATGACTCTCTGTTGCTTAGGAACAAATCCAGAATTCTGGATAGCATTCTGTCCCGTGAAGCACTGTAAGCCAAGCCTGCTCAGCTCAGTGGTTTCTTCTCCTTTATTTGGTACGTCTGGTAAATAAAAGAGAAATACCCTCTAAATTATAAGCAGGAAAGAAAGCCACCAGAGTTAGAGCCCAGGGAACTGAACTGTGGGAACTGAACGCAGCCACAGAGGTTGCCAAGGGTGAAAGTGGGTCACTCCTCTCCTCCTGGGCACTGCAGCAGGGGGCTGGGGGCACTGCTGTACAGAGCATGCCTGGCTAGTCCTCTTGAATGGTCTATGTATAGCAGCAAACATGTGCTAGTGAGCTGGACATGTCCTGTTCACTCAGGGAGTACGTGGGAAAAGTGGCTGCTGGGCCTCTGAATTGAAGAGTGTAGATCTATCTGATGCTGTCTGGCTCTCCTGGGTCTGCTCCCACACTGTCCGGAGCAAGTGTGACTGCGTCCCCTGACCCCACACTGTCCGGAGCAAGTGTGACTGCGTCCCCTGACCCCACACTGCCCGGAGCAAGTGTAACTGTGTCCCCTGACCCCACACTGTCAGGAGCAAGTGTGACTGCGTCCCCTGATCCCACACTGTCCGGAGCATGTGTGACTGCGTCCCCTGATCCCACACTGTCCGGAGCATGTGTGACTGCGTCCCCTGATCCCATGCTGCCCAGAGCAAGTGTGACTGCGTCCCCTGACCCCACACTGCCCGGAGCAAGTGTGACTGTGTCCCCTGACCCCACGCTGCCCAGAGCATGTGTGACTGCGTCCCCTGATCCCACACTGTCCGGAGCATGTGTGACTGCGTCCCCTGATCCCATGCTGCCCAGAGCAAGTGTGACTGCGTCCCCTGATCCCACACTGTCCAGAGCATGTGTGACTGCATCCCCTGATCCCATGCTGCCCAGAGCAAGTGTGACTGCGTC